GGGAGAGGTGTTTGTTTCTAAGATTATGTTTAAGGTTGGTTTTTTGACAGCATCTGATTAATATAAAATGTTTAGGATATTTTTCTCCCCAAAGTTGAATTAATGAAGTAACATATTTCCTGAAAGAGTTTCATTGATAAACTAGTGTACTGGAATCACAAGTGGGAAATTGCCTGATTTCCAGTAATTTCTACTGTAAATCATGATTTCTTGGGAAAATGGAATAGAATGCAATTTACATGAAAATATGGACTTTTCTGGGTTCAGTTTGCAGTGCTTGGCACGTAGTAAGTACTCGTTAAAATTTGTTGAACGAATTAATAATTAAGGGTGATATATTTTAAAGGTAATAATGCTTACCAAAGAGTTAAGAAAATAAAGGAAAAGTCTCTAGACCCAGCTCTTTCAGTAGTTCCCAACACCTGCTCTGCCAATCACAGACTGTCAGTAAAAGGCTAGAGAGGAGCTTGGGGCCAAAGACCGAGTGACATGTTCAAAGTCACCCAGCAAGCAGTAACCAGGCTGGAATCAAAACGGCGGCTCCCTGACCTTAATATAGTCTTCAGCATACCGTGGGTGCCTAAGACAATGTCCTGTACACAGGAGAGCCAAAGAGAATCTTTAGTCTACATAATGTCAAACTCACGGCACTGATGGAGAAAAGGTGAAAAGTATAGCCCTTGCACTGATCTTTGCCAGTTCGTGACATGCTGGCTCGAGGGTCTCTGTGGTCAGACGGTTTTCATAAGTTTAATGACCAAACAGACCACCTTTGACCTGTTGCTCTCTCTCCTTTGCCATCAAGATGGTGGACCATTCCACGCAGAGCTAAGGAAGGAGTGGGCTGGCTGGGCGGCAGCCCATGTTGTCAGGCTGCTGAAGAACTGTGGACACTGAACAGGATGGAGAAAAGCACACTTATCAGAAAGCGTCTCAAAGATGGTGGTTTATGTTGGAGGGAATGGTTCTACAAAGTCACTTTATGCTCACCTGACCTCTCTTGCCCTTATCAAAGAACAGACTGAAGTAACCATGGATGGCATTAAACTACCTTCTCCATCCAAGCTGTGAGTCTTGATTTCAGCAAGTGAGGGGATGTGCTGGGACAACTTCAGAGGCAGAGCTGGAGGGTCTGTGCAGCGCAGGAGACAGGACACACAGCCAGCAGGCCGCTCCTCACCCTCTTCACAGATCACAGCGGTCCTCTCAATCAGGCTGACACAATGGTACAGAATCAATTGTATTTTTCCTACCAATACTGGGAATTGAATCCAACACCTCTGCAATGAGTTCCATCCCAGGCCTTTTAAATTTTTTAAAATTTGAGATAGGCTTTGGGTAAGTCACTAAGTTGCCCAGGCTGGGTTGGAACTTTGGATCCTCTTGCCTCAGCCTCCCTGAAAATACAGGCATGCACCACACTCCTTAAAGGACAGCAAACCATTAGGTTTCCTGGGGTGACTTGGACTGATGCCACCCTCACAGGGACAGATCTCTGACCCCCTCAATGGCAGGTGCCTGGGTTCAGTCCAGTGCTAAGGCAGAGGATTCATGTGTTCTGTTTTGAGGTCCTTTCTGGCATAAGATTCTAGGCCACCAAAAATGTCTGATCATTCTTATAAAATATACCAAATGAAGGAAAGATACAAAATCCATTTGGCAAAATTTGGTTATGGTTGCTGACAGTCCAATTCAGCTCTATATAGTTCTTATAATAGACAAAATAAACTGCTTCACCTTAGAGAAAGAAGCTAAGATTAGAGATCAGACTCCAGCACTGCCAAATGGGGCCTGTGATACTGCACAGGTTCAACTTCCCCATCTATATGTGAGGTTCACATTTCCCATCTATATCATGGGGTGTGACAAGCTTATTAGCTGTGAATTTTAAGTAACAGTATTTAAAAATATATTGTTAGCATATCTGATAGAGAAGTACTAATGCATATTAAATTAACTAATAATTATTGAATTAAATAGTGAATTAATAAATATTAGTGAATGTTAATAATATGCAAAGATTTATATGAAACTTTATGGGTGATAAGAGAAATTGTGAGGGACAGCTATTTGGCTTTCAAAACAGCATAGAGGTGCAAATTTTAATCAATAACTAAATTAAAAATTTTTCAAATGAAATATTTTTCCAAGAAAGAGAGTTAATGAAAATGCATTCAAGAGTTCTTAATATAATCAAATATGGCATTGTAATACATGTCATGGATGAGACCATATCAAAATTACAAACTGAAATTTCACAAAATCCCACTGTAAATCTCCATTGAGAAGGAATAATAACTTCTAATCAACAATTTAACTTTTCATGGTTCTCACTGGCACCTCCTAAGAAAATATCATTTCTTGAAAAATACACAAAGATGTGCTTATATAATGCTAACTCCTGTATATACATACAGAGACATGCACACATACAATTTCACAAGGCATTGATACATTCAATGTTTTATGAAAAAAATTTTAAATGTCATAGTAAATTATGTGTGGCAGTAATTACATTTAGACAGCTTAAAAATATAAACACAAAGGAATAGTTGGGACATAATGAGACACATTCAGTTGACTGACATATCTATCCTGGAAACAGAAGAAGAGACAGAAATAGGAAATGGCTATCTTTACCTTTCAAACCAGTACTGTTCTCTGACCCGCCCTCAGGGCATTTGTCTTAGTGATTGTTAGAAAACAGACTGTATGGCAGATTGGAAAGAACACTGGGCAAGTGCTCAGCAAATCAGCCGTGTGACCTTGATTAGTGGAGCCAAGTTATTGTTCTATCCTCTCAGTTTCCACATCTGTGCAATGGCTATAAAAATTCCAGTCATGCTTATTTCATGAAAATGATCTGGTCAGCCCCTCAAGTTACACATAAGAAAGCTGAGTAGTGAAGTGACTTCCTTAAGGTCACATAGCTAATCAGTGACAGAATCAGGACTAGAAACGAGTCCTTTGAAGAGATGGCCTTTCTGCCATAACAAAGCTGCCATTGAAGCAATAGATAGGGAAGTGCTTTGAAAAAACGTAATACAAGCATTTTGTTCAGTAGAAGTATTATGGGGTATAATCTACTAAATCACAATCAGGGTCATCTTGTGGCAATTAATTAAGAAATGCCTTTGAGACTGTACCTATCCCTTTAGCTATAGTCATCTTTCTCTTAAAATCAAAGGCACCCAGTTTCATTTCTCAACAAAGGCACAAGAAGTAAACAATTAACTGAATTAATTCAGACACTGAAGTGGATTTTCAAGGACTTGACTTGCCCAAGCTAGTTTTCTGCAAAGCCTAAATTAATCAAATAATTGCTAATTCTCTCCTTTGTTTTGTGCTCCTTAGAGTCTATTTGTTAAAATGAACCTAGTAGCAGAATAAACAGTCATTTAAAAAATGCAAAATACTGAATCTGTATTAAATGAACAAGTTCCAAACATGTTGTTTTTTAGGCATTATTTCTGGATATTACTTCAAAAGCTAATTTTTCTTCTCTGAATGTGAACATTAATGCTGCTTTTCTGATTGGAAGAGGACCTTTTAGACAAATTTTCAAACATCAGGATATTAGAAACAAGATTTGTTGCATTATCAATAGAAAAAAAATATGCTCTCACTGAAAACAACTTAAATCTTTTAGATTAAATTCTTACTGACACTTGAAAAATACAGTCAATCTAGCATGGTCCTAAATGATCTTAACTGAACAACTATCAGACATTAAAACTAAACAAACATTGCTAATTACCCTCCTAATATCGAGAAGAAAGTTTAGAAAGTAATTTAATTAATTGGCTCTGGAAAAATTAATTACATATGAAATAAAACTCATTGTATGTTTCCTGTTTCATTAGAATTTCAGAGTCAGGCACAACTGGTCTTATCATTTATCATTTCTCTGTGGTTCAGCTAGCATAAAACAAGACTATTGTGATGATAATTAAATATTTTGCTCAAATAAACTTAGGACTAAAAACATTAAATCAGCGTGGGCACAAAGTGCACCCTTTCCACTGTATTGTGTTCTTGCATTTCAATGTAATGTTTTTTACTGTGTGTGTATCTGTGTGTGTGTGTGTGTGTGTGTGTGTGTGTGTGTTTGTAGGTGGGAACTATCACTGAACTGACAAAGAAATAACAGTTAACTTTCAAATTCAGTGCCACAATATTAATTTGGTTTTAAGGGCATTGACTACAGTGAAAATGTGAGTAAATTACTTTCTGTAACATAATAACTGTTGATTACTCAGATAGTTTTCATAAACAGTTGGCAAATCGTAACTTTCAACAGCTGTCACTACAAATTGAAAGTAAATGTTAATTTAGGAATATTAACCATGCGAACTTTTCTGTAAACAAGGCTTGTGTGACCAAAAGTTACAGAAAACCGCTAGGTATTTTTAGCTAAACCTACTGCAACTTCACTCAGTTCTCAAATTCTTCAGTTTTACACATAAAGGCGGTAATCATACTCAAATGGCTTTTCAGAGGTTCCCCTGTGTATACAAACTACATGAGGAAATGTATTTAATAGATTTATGTCTTGGAGGTGAGAGAATAAACAAACTGTAGAAATGGGGTTACCAGAGATGCATTTTGCTTTTTTAAACTGAGAAGTCAGGGAAAGCATTCTCGACAAGCACAGTTCCAGTGACTGTGTACTAAATAAAGTAGCCTGTGAATACTTTGAGCAATTATAGTGCTCAGATCTGAGGCTGAAACACTGGTTGTATGTTAAAGTTAGCACTGTTTCTTTTTATCCTGTTTCAACAACTTATTTCCAAGTAAAACTTGCATGACAGATTGCAATCCCTTTTGTACAAACTACTAAAAAATTGCACCAAGTATTAAATTTACTCTGATCCATACATGCGGTATAGTGTAGTATTCAGCTACAGAAATGTCTGCCCTTAAATGACTAAAACCATTTTTTTCTCAGGACACACGTGAAAAACACAGTGAAACCTACAACAAAACGTAAAATGCAGTACCTGCAACTGCCAGTTCTTCCCAGAACTCACCCTCGGCAGCTTAGTCTCTCCTTGGCAGCACTTCTGTGCCAAATGCTTCCACCTCCCAAAAAATGTGTGTCAGCACAAGCCCAGACAAAACTTCAAATCCAAGAAAATGAAATTAACCATGCAGATCAAAGACAGACGAGCAGGGAGATGAAATGCCTGTAATCTGATCAGTGATCGGTTGCTGAACATCAAAGGCAGAGCTGAGCTTATATATATGCAGGGATATCCAGAAAGTTCTCTTTCAGCAGGTAGGTAGCTGCCCTCTTGCCTCCCAGGCCACACATTCTTTTGTTAAATGTAGATCACCTTGTTTTCCTCTGTTTTTTTTCACAGGGCACTGCCGGTGGCTCCTCCACGCTGGGACTGAGCGGCTGGATCCGAAGCTCTCCTGGTTCCCAAGCTGTGCTGTGGATTGTGTGCTGGAAGCTTTTCTTAGTGCCAGCGGGCTCTGCTTTATCCCTTTCATCTTGCTGAACTGCAGATCCCATGACATCATTCAGCACCCTGGGACTTAGGAGAGCTATAATTCAGCTCAAAAGAAACCAGAGTTTGCCTGATTTCTAATCACATTAGTCTATTGTGCCCCACACAGGACAGTTTCTGTTATCTGTCCCCAGCTGGAAGGGACAGCCCTGCTGTGGACGTTCCTTGGGTGATAAGATCCCTGATGGACAGAAGTTGGGCCAAATGACAGCCTTTAATTCCCTTTTGGTTGATACAAATCAGAATTTCCTACAGGGTGGGTATCAAATATTCACAATAGCTAAACACCCATATTAAATTATTAGAACATTCCCCCAAAACACCTAGGTTAACCAAAGGGGCAACATAATATTTTAAATTCTTGTTTTTGTTTTCAGTGAAACAAATCTTTAAGGATTTTAAGTAAGCTATTTTCCTTGAAATGTAAATTATTACCATTTGACTGGCCATCAAATAGTGGTGTTTTCAATAAATTAAGGAGGAGAAAACCAGCCGTTCATCAGGAGACAGATATCTGCCACCTTCTCCCTGAATACCTTGGGCCGAGGATTAATCTTAGTTTTGATCTAAACTGGGGACTCTGAAAATACAACCTTAAGATGTCTAGTTCTTGGCATAATTCTCGAATACTTCTTGAGCATTTTAGAATTCACAGAAGAAAACAACTATATAGAGGAAAGCACATGCCTTGTGATTACTCCACAGCTGTGTTCCTCGTCTTTCCAGCTTCTCCCAAAGCCAGTTTGGACTTTTAACAAAAAATTCACCACTTTAGCCTAATTCTCCATATTTTAAAATTAAATCTATTGCACATTGTTTAGAATTTTCTTACTATTTTTTCTTAACAATGTCAGATTCAAAACAGTAAAATTATTTTATTTTCAGTATCATATATATAAAAGAGAAGTATAAGTTTCATCTTCACTGAAATCCAGAATATGTGCATCCCAGACAGTTCTTTCGTAGAATAAAAGGAAAAAATTTCTGTTTTATAACGGAAACTCATCAACTCTTAAAAGGTCAGTGAAAAATATCTTTGCAAAACTCAGAGGACAGTAGAATTTAATGTTTCTTTTTTTTGTAAGTTCCTTCTCTAATTGGTTTCATTTAATTTTTCCTGATGTAATATTTGAAAATGTAGTTTATGATATGTTTCTTCCCAGGCTTCTATGATTCTTGAACAAATTTTAATAGCAAAATATTTGGTTTGAGCAGTGTATGAGTTCAGTTTAACATTTGAAAAGTCCTGTTTATTTTTTAATGTTTTCTTGGGGTGGGTAATGCCAGAGATTGAGTACACTGGGCAAGTGCTCTACCACTGAGCTACACCCCAAGCCCTAGTGTTTCTCTCATAATTTTTCTACTTGGTACATCATTTCTCAAAGATACACAGAGCTGAAATGGTACTTGAACTCATGGGTGTGATATTTTATGGCTCCCTTGAACAAGAAAATTCCTGTAACACCTGGGCTTTACACACTTCCTGAGCTCCTTGAATTCATAAATACAAAGAAAATGTTTCTAAGAATAAAATATCTCCACAAGAACATGTATTCATTTCTTTTTGAAGTAGTCCAACCCTTCCATTTACACGGAATCTGTATTCCGTCAGCCTTCACTCAGAAAGAAAGTTTCGAGATAGGCTGATGCACCAAATGATAACTCTCGGAGGTTGAGTAAGCAAGTAGACTTGATGTCTTTCCAGAGTTTAACACTAAGAGAAATGGGTGAGGACCTGGATCAGGATTCTCATAGTTTTCCAGGAAGTTTACAGGAGACATTTGGAAGCAAGGACACACACCAGTCAAATTATCCTTAATTTAGATATGTCTTATCAAGAAAGATTGGTTTTTTCCTGGGGATCATCTTAGCATCCAAGAATCACAAAGAGTCCTCAGGCCTCTTCCTTCCCATGCCAGTAATTGTACAGGGGACAGAGGTCCTGAGTCGCAAGGAAGACACCGAATCAGCCTGCTGCAGACAGGCAGGTCTGTGCATGCCCTACCGAGGTCCCGAGTCGCACGGAAGACGCTCAAGAAAGATTGGTTGTTTAAGATACTCTAAAAATGTAATATCACCACCAACGGAAGAGAGTATTCACCAAGTCACTGAAAATTATTTTGAATTAGTCCTTTTGTGGCCAAGAACTCCCCACATGTGAGATGAAAGGACACAGAGGGCAGGGCCCCATCTCTCCCCAGCTACAGAGGGTGGCTAAAGGCTGGCCTCCAATGAACAGCAACCTCGACCTGCTGCTCCTTAGCACTGTGCTCAGCTCCCTGAGCTCCTTCATTGTGAGGTGTGGGCTGGGTCATTGTTGTTTCTGCACAGCACCATGAAGGGGAACCACTGTAAAACTTTTCTCTTTCTCTTCCAAGTAGGCTAGATTACAGGTGAGGCTCTGGAGATAAGAAATATGTCACTATGGTCCACATACAATCAACGCCACTTAGCAGGATGTTTTCCAAGAAACATGTTATGCAAACATCACAGAGCACACCTACATAAACCTGGATGCAACATTACTACACATCTGGGCATCTGAGATAGACACAAGACATGATAGCAGGACAACTAAGGATTAGATTGAGCACAGAAGGAATGGACCCAATCAGGAGAGAAGATAAGCCCCAGGGCTGAAACTTTTTTTCCTAATTTTATCTTTTCTAAACTATCTGTTTAGAGGATACATTCTGGATTATATCATATAAGCACAGCTTCATTGCATAAAATGAAAAAGACAGGGCTACTGCTCAGATAACACACACACACACACCCACACACACACACACACACACACTGTTCATTTTTAAGAACAGTTTTAGAACAATTGAGTGGTTAAGACAGAGATTTCCTATATGTTCCCTGTGCCCCACACACGGTCTCCCCTGTTATTAGTAACTTGTATTATTATGGTATATTTGTAACAATTAATTAATTGGCATTCAACTAAAGTCCATACTTTACACTAAAATTCCCTCTCTATACAAAGTTCTATGGAATTTGGAAAATGTGTAGTGTCATGTGTCTTCCACTATAGTGTCATATAGAAGAGTTTCTTTGTCCAAAACATCCCCTGTGCTTCACAGATTTGTTCCACATCCCTCCCCAGAGCCCCTGGAAATCACTGAACTTTCTACTATCTCCAGAGCTTTATCTTCTCCAGAATGTTCAGAGTTAGTAGTACAAAATGTACAGCCTTTTCCTGTGGCTTCTTTCCTTAGCAGTATGCTTTTAAGGTTCTTCCATGGCTTTTGGGGGCTTGATAGCTAATTTCGTCTTATCATTGAATAATATCCCACTTTCCAGACTACCACAGTTTCTTTATCCATTCACCTTTTGCAGGACATTGTGGCTATTTCCAGTTTTTGTGACTATTAAGGTTTTTGTGTGAACGCAAGTTTTTAACTCAAAGGCAATTCATACCTAGGAGCAGGATTTCCGGTTCATATGACTAAACTATAGCTAACTTTATAGGAAACTGCCATACTGTCTTCTAAAACAACGGCGCTGCTGGGGGTGGTGGCATACACCCATAGTTCTAGCTCTTGGAGGCTGAGGGAGGAGCCAGTGTGGGGTTCGTCTTTTCATTGTCTTAACAGAACAGTTATAGATTTTTATGAAGTCCGCTTATCCATTTTTTATGGATTGTAGACTTAAAGTTGTACCTAAAATGTTATTATCAAACCCAGGATAATCTAGATTTTCTCCTATGTTTTCTTCTGAAAGCTTTACAGTTTCTCATTTTACTTTTAGGCCTGTGACCCAGACTTAAGTAATTGTTGGGAATGGTGTGAAATCCTTGCCTAGACTCATCTGCTTTTTTTTCTTTAGCATGTGAATGTCTACTTGTTCCAGAACCATGTACTGTAAAGGCCATGTTTTGTCTGTCAAATTTCTTTTCTCTCTTTGTCAAAGATCAGATGATTATACTTTTGTAGATCTATTTTTAGACTCTGTAATCTATTCCATTGATATTTTTGCCTATTCTTTTGATAATATGATTTCATTACTATAGCTTTTTTTCTTTTTTCAGGTACTGGGGATTGAACCAGGACCTTGCGCTCGAAAGGCAGGCGTGATGCCACTGAGCTAACTCCCCAGCCCCTCATTACTGTAGCTTTATAAAAAGTTTTAAAATTGGTTAGTATTAGTCTACTCACTTTGATGTAGTTCTTCAGGATTGTGTTTGTCTTTTGACTTTCAATGCAAAATCTGGTGATATCCACAAAATTACTTGCTGGGATTTCGATTGAAATTAAATTGAATTTGCACACAGCACTGGGAAGAAATGACATCTTAGTGCCAGGGCCTGTGTGCCTGAAGGGTCCTCGGAGTGAGAAATGGTGGGAGATTAAGAAAAGGTAAAGAAAGAAAGATACAAAAGAACAGAGAGAAGCAAAGGTGGGGCCAGGTGGGGCTGTAACTCCTGATGGGGGGAAAAGACCCCAGGCAAATGCAGAGCACTTATTTATAGTGGTGGAGACAAGGGAAGTGCAAGGGGAGGTAAAAGGGCCTGGTCTGTAATCAGAGCTAGGAGAGTAGCTAAGGTCTGCAGGACCTCATGATTGATGGTTTTCTGGCTAATGTGTGGGGAGGAAGACAGCCCTCTTCTGGCCAGGCCTTGCTCCACAATGCCCTCTAGTCACCTGTTCTCCTCCCACAGGGCCCTGTCTTGTCAGCGGGAGGAAGAGAACAAGATATGTGTTCCTTGTTCCACCAGGGCCCTGCCTCATCCACGGGAGGAGGTGAGTTAGGCCTGGCCATAGTGATCTACAGCACAGGGCTCCCAGCATCTTAGCAAT